AAATTATAGACCGCGATCGTCACAGTCGTCGTTGTTCACGGTCTTTTGAACTCCCTCAGCCAGTTGAGGAGAACTGAAGTGCACAAAATCCCGTTTAGACCCATTCAAACAAAAGCTCTTCAGCAATACCATAATAAACTGCTGCTCGTTTTTTCCGTATTCACGTTCATGATACGAACTTTATCATTTTGGCACTTTGGTGAATGGTAAGTCCCACTTATCTCTCCCTACAATGTCAATGCACTTTAAGCAAATCGCGAAAATTAGAATATAATTACTGAAAATAAACTTTCATCACCGCAAGCTTACTTTTTAGTCCCTGAGTCAGCCTTGAAGTTACATTCGCAAAGTACTGTATGATTAAGAGTTTTGAAACCGCTTCTGGAGTTCTAAATTGTCCCTTTACCACCTTGGTACCCTGTGTAACTGTGCTTACGGAACTTGCGCAGAAACAAGTGCAACTTTTCCCAGCTTAACGGGTGTACCATATGTTTTGGTACTGGGCTCTGTTCGCGCGCTATTAAGTAAATGAAATCTTGCAATGCGAGCATTCATATGGTTTATATGAATAACCATTTCAATACTACACGTAATTTTCATGATACCGTTAGTTTTCTGCTGTAAGTATTTTAAAAAGTTAGCTTTTTAAAAAATGTTTTCTTTGATACTGTTAAGTGTAAGAGGTCTAGATCATATTCATCAAGAACAAGCGTCTGTGCAGTAATAATAATTCACTTCCAATCATCGTTGTACACTGTACCTTGCTCTTGTTTATTTGCTGGACTCAACCCATCGTGGACTGCAAACTGCCTTTTCACCAATTCTTCGTTGATGTTCACATCCTGAAACCCCATGATTTATATCATTAACCAGTCAGCTTTGTACAGCTTTTAAAGTACCAGAAATATTATTTGTCTGCTTCTATCCATACTACATTTACATCTACGTAATAACTAACACAAAAACTATAACGAAAAAAGTAATCATAATGCAAGGTGTCTTTGTACGGCACCTTTTTTGGCTCGAATATATGTCTTCACCATTGGATATTAGTTAAATGTCCAATACAATGGAAACTCTATTTAGCGTAAACCTTCTGTTCAGTGGTCAGTCCTTACAGTTGCAGTAGATAACTGTAGTCTGAATTTAGTGGTCGGCGGGCCATAATAAAGTGTGTAGTGATTACAATGATTGACACTGTCCCGTATAAGGCTTAATCGTTAGTGACGAATTACATGTAATCAGATATAGCGAATCCGTAGAGCAGAAGGAATCAAGCAATGTGGGAACAAGGATAACAAACGGAATAAAACTCAATCACACTTGACGAGTGTTTCAATTCATTACAAAGTGGAAACTTGCCCCTTCTCGGACGAAGGGGGCCCCCTTATGTAACGAAAGGTTTAACTGCTATTTAACGGCTTTTTTCTGTAAATTCTTGGTTATGGCTGGATTTTCTTAATTCTTACCGTCTGTCCAGTAGTGTCAATCAATTCCAGACAAGGTATTTCACCACAGTAGTTCACTACTCTTGCCATCAATGAAACCCACTGAGCACAGTGACTAAGCCGCTCAAATTCATCAGTGGATTCTGCACTCCATTCTTCACCTACAAAAGATCAACAGTGTTTAGGATTAGAAACAAAGGAAATCCTGAAAGGAGTAGGTTGAATGTGCTGGTCTAACATGAGAATGCACTTTGGCTAACACTGATTTCAAACGGCCCCATGAGGTTGTCATGGGAAAGGGAACAGGCTATGGAGTAAACCCTACGGAAATCCAGAGTGGAGCCACTAAGGTGGATTGATGGTTTAATGGATGCCCTNAGTGTCAATCAATTCCAGACAAGGTATTTCACCACAGTAGTTCACTACTCTTGCCATCAATGAAACCCACTGAGCACAGTGACTAAGCCGCTCAAATTCATCAGTGGATTCTGCACTCCATTCTTCACCTACAAAAGATCAACAGTGTTTAGGATTAGAAACAAAGGAAATCCTGAAAGGAGTAGGTTGAATGTGCTGGTCTAACATGAGAATGCACTTTGGCTAACACTGATTTCAAACGGCCCCATGAGGTTGTCATGGGAAAGGGAACAGGCTATGGAGTAAACCCTACGGAAATCCAGAGTGGAGCCACTAAGGTGGATTGATGGTTTAATGGATGCCCTTAGCATCTCCTGTAACTGAACTGGTACCAAATGGCATGCTCCACACTCCCATTGGGGCAGCCAAAAGGGGGAATCCGACGACTGGGCAACGCAGGGTCTCCATATCAACTATCCAGGTGTGTGTCCTACAGAGGTCACTCCAGCGTCATTATTTTCACTGTTGACACAACATGGGAGGCTTGCAGATACGGGTTATAAGTCCAACCTCCATAGGCATAGAGGAGGATGATGCAGACAGCCTTTGACCGTGGGAGACGCCATTATTGTTCACTTGTCAGCTACTGCCCGTCTCAAGCCAGGCCAGTTACATGTAGGTGCTGACCTGCCAGAATCTGCCTGCCTTTTTGCACTCCACAGCCACACCAGATGTTGCAGCACCACCACAGATTGACAACAGTGCACAAGATTTGTCTTGCAAGACGCCTGTCATTTGTGTGACATGTACATGTAATAATACACCCCATTAAAATCAAAACTAATGTAAACAGAAAGGATTCTTTAATTACCTGAAGGTTTTACTCCAGCCAAATAGCACTCAATAGCCTGAAATGGAAGCCCCCTGTGTTCCTTCCTGATAGATAAACAAAGGCAATGCAATGCTTTGTATTCCTGGCATTCACATCAGATGTACATGTAATTTAATATTAACAATGAAAATTGATGACATCTCTAATTGACAATATAAGCAGTGCTCCAAGTTGAACTACAGTTTTTTCTATAAATCAAATTTTGGTGAGCTTAAATTACAAAAATGGTTGCCAGAAATAAGTGTTGGTCAAAATTACACTGTACAAGAAAAGTAAAATCAAAATAATAATAATAAAAAAAATGATCAAATTTTGAAGTGGATGAGACATCCTAAGGATTAATACCTAAACAGACAGATAGTAAGAGGTAAATTATAGAGAAACCAAGGCATAAGTAATATTTCATTTTTCATAAGTATTATTTGATTTTATACCACAACTACCTGGCTATTGCTTTGAATTTGTTAAAACCCCGTTGTCTGCCGGTGGTGTTGGTCTTTTTATTAATGAAAACTATAAATATCGAGTCTTAGAACGCTCTACTAATTCCTCTTATCAAGCCTTGTGGATTGAAATTTTACTACCAAATCACAAGAAAAATATCTGTGGCATTGTTTACCGACAACATAATAATGCAGATCAATTTCTTGACTATCTTTCGGATTCCCTCGAGTATTTCAGTAATCACAATAATAATATATATCTCATGGGAGATTTCAATATAGACTTGCTAAAATATGAAAACTGTAAATACAGCCAGATACTGCTTCAGTGTATGCAAAGTTTTTCTATGCTTCCTACAATTGATAAACCAACGCGAGTGTATGGGTCCTCAGCGACTTTAATTGACAATATCTTCACAAATAACCTGACGAATAATATTTCTAGTGGCAATATCGTCACCGACACAACCGATCATTTTTCGCAAGTCTGTATTGTCAACGTAAACAAGCAAAAATTACCACATACAAAAAAGACTAAATTTAGGGATTATTCCAGCTTTAATGCTAATGAATTCATGAATGACCTAAGTGCAATTAATTGGGAAGAGGTTTCTGGTAATTGCGACGTAAACAAGTCGTTCTCTCACCTTTATAAAACCATAAATCATGTAGTTAATAAACATGCACCGCTCAGGGATGCTTCAGTGAGAAAACTAAAAATGCTAACTAAACCTTGGCTAACTGCTGGACTAAGGAAATCTATAAAGGTGAAGAATAAATTGTTCTTTGAATCAAACTGGCCGAAATATAAAATATATAGAAATAAGTTAACAACCCTTATTCGATTGAGTAAACAACGTCACTATCAAAGGTTTTTCGACTCTAACATAAAAAATACACGATCGACATGGAAAGGTATTAACGAAATATTAGGAGATGCGAAGAAAAGGAAAAAATCAAAAAGAATTAACTTCATTCGTTCTAACGAGCATAGCGTTTTATCAGATGATCCTAAAACGATTGGTAACACACTCAACAAATACTTCTCGTCAATAGGGCATCAACTTGCAACCGATATTCCTGAAGTTAACACTACTTTTTCTGATTATCTTGATCCACCTTTGCAGAACAGTTTTTATTTTGATCCAATTATACCGCAAGAAATTGAAACAGAAATTAGCTTGTTGCCATACAATAAAGCCCTGGGGCTTTATTCTACCCCTGTTAAACTGTTAAAACTTGCTAAATCAGTCATATCCATACCATTAACCAAAATTTTTAACCACTCTGTACTAACTGGGGTTTACCCTGCAAAACTTAAATATGCAAAAGTAATTCCAGTGTATAAGGGTGAAGACGAGACGTTACCTGAAAACTATCGGCCAATTTCTTTGTTATCAATTTATAATCGTTTATTTGAGAAAATTTTATATCGTAGACTGATAAAGTTTATAGACAAGAATGATATTCTTTATGATTTACAATATGGCTTTCGCAATAAACATAGTACCCAGCACGCGATTCTTGATATTGTGAACACCATACATTCTAATATGGACAATAGAAAGTACTCATGTGGAATTTTTATAGATCTTAAGAAAGCATTTGATACTGTTAACCATGAGATTCTTTTGACAAAACTTGAACACTATGGAATAAGAGGAGTTATAAATTCTTGGTTTAGATCATATCTTTCAGATCGCCGACAGTCTATTGAAATAGACAAATGCATATCTGAAACTGAAACGATCGTATGTGGAGTGCCTCAAGGCTCTGTACTTGGACCCTTGTTATTTTTGTTATATATTAATGACATCCATAAATCTTCCAAGGAATTTACTTTTTATCTTTTCGCAGACGATACAAGTCTAACTTATGCAAATGACAACTTACGTACTCTTGAACTAACTGTCAATAATGAACTTGAGAAAGTAAGTGAATGGCTTAATGCTAACAAACTAACGCTCAACGTCAAAAAGTCTAATTATGTCATTTTTCGTCCGCACCAAAAAAGAATGCCTTTCATTCCTCAAATTAAGATTTTTAATCCAACTTTAAATACTAGAGTAACTCTAGAGATGAAGGACTTTGTTAAATATTTGGGTATAATGATTGATTCTGAACTATCATGGAAGCATCATATTGACTTTATCTGTCACAAAATTAGTAGATCGGTTGGAATAATTGCTAAAATGAGGCATTACATTCCACGGCGTCTTCTTTTGAATTTATATCATGCACTTATTTCTCCTTATTTAAATTATGGTATCTGTGCATGGGGCAACTGTCCACAGACCTACCTCAATAAGATACTTGTTCTGCAAAAACGTGCTCTGCGTTTGATTTATTTTTCTAAACCCAGAGACCATGCAATCCCTTTTTTTATTGAATCAAACTGCCTTCCTTTGCAGTCTTTGTTCTTTCAACAGTTAAGCTATTTAATGTATGACGTTCATGCTAAGACAGCTCCTAAAAGTCTTCTCGATAAGTTTGCGAAAATCAATACAGAACATCATTATAATACGCGATTATCTGCAAAAGAATGCTTCTCTGTCAAATTCTCTAGAACTGAAAAAATGAAAAAATCTTTTACTAGAATCGGTGTGTCTATTTGGAATTCTATTCCACTTTCTGTTAAGACTCTCAACGTTTCTAATTTTCGTAAAAAAATTAAATCACTACTCCTTAATGTTCTAGGTAATGAAGATAATTATTTGAATGTTAATTTTTTAATAGAATATTTTGTGAAGTTAACCTGATATGTTGTATATACCTCCAGTTGTAATTTTAGTCTTTTTCAAATAACAAAATCCCTTGTACTTGAATTTATATGTAAGGTGTTTCTTTCTGTATGTTTTTGTATTTCTTCTTTTCTTTTTTCTTATGTAATTTAATAACGCCTTTAGTTAAAGTCTTGTCCTGCCTAGATTAGCATTGTAGCTATTTGCAGGACATGAAGTATTGTCAACTTTATATTTCTTTAAATAAATATATTGTTGTTGTTGTTGTTGTTGTTCATGCATGTTTATCTCACTTTAAAAATTGCACACAAAAATAGTAGCAATACAGTGGCTTGTCACATAACCAGGGCAATTTTACTGCAATTTTAATGTCCATGTTTTTTCCTCTTTACACGGCAATCAAAATACATTGTAGTTACTGCTTAGAATGCTCATATCTACTGATTAAACCGTTTGGCCACTGTGAAGGAAACTAAGATGGGAGTGTGTGCATCATCCTGTCTCGTACTCCTTTTAAACAGCATTAAACTATTGCTGAAAAAATACAGCAGCATTTTTTCAGAGTGTCTATTATTTTTGTGTTCAGTCTATACCAATATTCCTTTCCTTGTCAATGAAAACATAAAACCTTACCTCAGTTCTCTTAATTTTTCCTTGGAAATTTGCCCAGAATCTCCAAAGTCCACATAATACAACTCCACTGTTCCATCTTTGTTGATTTCCACAATGCGTGCTCTGTACCATGATGTATCAAAGTCAAATGGAGCACAGCAAATATCTCCAACCTAGGGTAACAAAAGCCACTTTTAGTATAAAGTAGATATATCTATATATATATTTTAATATTAATTCATTTTTTTTTAGAAAATTTGACAAACATTTCTTGTGATCTCCCACATGGGTTAAAAAATTGCCTAAAAAACTGAAACAATATTTGATTTTATTTAGAATGGACAGAGTGCCAAAACTGGTACAATAGCCTGGTTAATCAGGTTAATTAAGTGGCAAACTATGTGATTTCTTCAAAAACTAAGAGTAGATTTGGTATGAGAAGATTTACAGCCAACTCTGTCTTAACTAACACCTTCCTAAAATGGACACCTTGTGATATTCCCAGATGAACTAGTCCCAAAAGTGACAGTCTTAAAGAGGGTTGAGGCTCTCCATGTTGTTTCTGTTGTGGTTCAATTNTCCTAAAATGGACACCTTGTGATATTCCCAGATGAACTAGTCCCAAAAGTGACAGTCTTAAAGAGGGTTGAGGCTCTCCATGTTGTTTCTGTTGTGGTTCAATTTTGTCGTTGGTTTAAATTTTATTTGCCTTTGTTTTTGGGTATGGTGATGTATGATAATGAGTTTGAAACAAAGGAAAATAAAATTTAAACCAAGGATAAAATTGAACCCCAACATTTCCAAAGCAAAACAGCTTTAAAATAGAATTTATGTTTGTTATATTTTCTGGATTTTTCGACTTTAGTTAAGTATGGGCTAGATGCTTATTTGAAATCGTAAGCTATTTCTATTTATTATATAAACATCAATGAAATACCAAATGAGCTTTCCCGTGAAAACTTGATATCTTCACACGTGAAAATAACATGTTATCTTCACATGTGAAAATATCACCATTGCTATGGCTTCATAATAAACCGCACCTTTCAGACCAAAAAACTTTAAGTAAAATGGTTTGGCATTTCATTGGTGTTTATATAATAAATAGAACATTACATGGTCGCTTGGAGATACGAAATTTCTCTTCTCATGTTGAAAAAAATATTTCACTTGTTCACTGCACTCACTCGTGAAATATTTTTCAACACTCGAAGAGAAATTTTGTATCTCCGCGCAACCATGAAATATCTGCTATTTCGGAACTACATTTGAACCTTCAGCATCTCTTTCAAAGTGAGTTCTAGTCTTCTTTCTATCATATTAAAATAAGTTACCAATAACATACAAATAATTTTCACATGAAAGGTGCTTAGTGCACCAGGCATATTGCATTGATAAAGAGGATTTGAGCAAATTCAAAATGGGCCATTGTACAAAATAGCATCATCCTATCAAGGCCTTGTCTGTGGTTTTACCTGACAGATAGTTTTGATGAACTTACCAGGGCCCAGTTGTTCGAAGGCCAATTAGCACTAACCCAGGGTTAAATTTTAACCCGGGTGTCTTTTTCTTTTCATCAAAAGCATTTTCTCAGACAATTTTCTCTATTCTTTTTAGAGTAGCCAATCATCAAATTGTTGACAAAAAGAATTAAACTGAATTTGCTTTTTAAGCTTTCATATCTGAATTCAAATTTCTAACTAACCCTGGGTTATCTTAACCCAGCTTTGAACAACTCGGCCCAGTACAATAACCACCAGGTTTTTGACCAATCAGAACAAATGTTGTATTTTCTACAACATGCAAACCTTGAAAGCATTAATGACTGCATGTGTCTCAGAGGATGAATAAAGTTGTGTCAATTCGTTTGTAAGTTTGTCCAAATCAGGAGAATCTTTTGTTATAATCTGCACCCAAAAATGTCCAGGACTGTCGATAGCTGACACAAATACCCCATAAAAATCTTCTGTCTTTGGAAATTGTACAGTGCCTGTTGTTGAGGAAGCTGAAATAATAATAAAATTAAGAATGACAACAATTTAGTAAATGTATGTTGTGTGAAAAAATAGCTAATGAATAGGCCTAATAAGGGTGTTGATATACATGTAACACTAACAAAATAAAATAATTTTGAATGAGGCTTTCCTCTCACAGCTGCAAAAGTTGCGTCTATAATCCTTCACCCCGCAGTTCTCATATAATATTATGATTTTCATATATTCATAACTTCATAATTATCCTTTCATGAGTTTATAACGAACCAATTCAACGACCTGTTCCCAGTTGGCTTGTTGGTTCAGTTGGTAGAGTGTGCACTGGTATGGCAAAAGTCAAGGGTTTTGAATCCCATACAAGCCTGAATTTTTTCAGGCATTCTTTTAGCAACTGCAAAAGTTGTGTCTATAACTGCAACGATCTTTCATATAAAATAAATTTTACCTACAATTTTATAAGACGTGTTAGTGCATTTGTTTACATTGAGTAAAAATGATACTTGAATAAATAAATAAATAAATAATTAATGTCTCTGTTCCTTCGCGATGCATGTTAAACGCATAACTAAATTATAAAAACAAATAATGACATGTTGGTGTTAATGGGGGAGCACTGCCTTGCGCTAGGTTAGCCTAATGCGACTTCGGGCGATGGTGACCAAAGAACCTCACTTATCTCCCCAGCACTACGAGCTGAATGCAATACAGCACGTGCTGGATCAGACAAGAGTATCGGTTTGCAGGTGATATTAAACGGCAACGCAGCCAACAAGCTTGGGGGAATTCACTGTGCAGACTTAACCGCACCGCGCAGGAGTGTCCCTAGTTTATTTGACCGCATAGCACAAAACAAAGCCCAAACCTCGTCTCCAAAGGGAGGGAGGGAGGGGAAAATTTTACAAGAATCGTATACTGAGCGCTAACCTTGCTGAATAACAGAAGCCAAGTGAACTCTGAACACTTGTTCTAGGCTTTTATAGCTAGACAAACGCCTGCTGGCATAGCCAGTAGAAAAGGCTGTACTACAAGACAGCTCAGCATTGCACGTGCGCACTCTTAGCCATGAATAGTGCATTGAAAAAGTTGGCCAATGCTGTGGATCGTACTAGCATGCTAAAGACAACAAGGCCGTAAAGTTCTACGCTAGAATACAATGTATCTTAGAGCTTACTGACCTTGGCAGCTTGACTACACAACTGCTTTATTGAAAAGGAACCGCCATGAAAGGGCAACTGATAACTGGTGTCACGTTCCATTAACTACATTTTACTGGCGTGACAGTAAAATAGCTTTTAAATAAAAAAATCATAACAAAAATAGTAAATATATCACAGAACTAACCCAGAGCAGTTTCCAGTGTTCTTGGTGCACGTCTGTTTCTCTGCATTCCTGTATCTCCCCTATGAGCCCAAATTTCCTTATCTTCAGCTATCTTTTCATCAAGAAGGCCCTTAGCACTTGCAATTTGATCTGACGTTCCAGTAATAAGACACTTTCGTAAAGTACTTGACAAGTTCTCACCGTCTCGATCAATTTTTATCTTTGCCCCTATGGTAAAAATACAAGTTCCTAAGATTGTAAAATATGTTTGAACTCTTTGACATTCTACATTTACACTGAATATCTCCAGAAAGGAAAATAATAATGATAATAAATTTGTCAAAGAGAGAAAGGGTAATCCTGTCCTAAGCTACATGTAGTTTGATTGGCCCATTATTCAGATTATGACACTTACAGCGGTTACCACCACCCCGCGCCCTCAAAGGGTTTGTTCTTCGGTTCAAACCTGGGTTTTGGTGGATGTCAATCAACCGTTACCATGGTTTTTCACGCGTTGGCCTAGAGAAGATTCTTTCTCCGTTTCTTGAGCATTCGGAGGAATATATATGTCGGCGTTTCAGCCGTTTTTGCAATATTTTGCTGCTGGAAAACGGCCTCCATTCAGAGGAAACTTTTTCCCTTTTTGGTGTGATATCTTTTGTTTCTTTGAATTTATACTAGCTTCTTGGCAATTCAGTCATCCACGGCTCCCGTGTTTTCATACATCAAATAAATAAACAACCTAAAAACCGTTACATAAACTATAGAGAATGTTTCGGCTATTTCACTCAGCTCACAGAGACCTTGTTGTTTTAACAATGTAATCCTTCATCTTAATAAAACAATTTTAAAAAGCCGTCGTCGTTTGAAATTATTCGCCTTTCATTCAGCGATGAGGGAACCTTCTCTGTCAGAGTGCGTGGAAAACCATGGAAACAGTTGATTGACGTCCACGAAAACTCAGGTTTTTAAAGACAGAAAAACACCCTTCAAAGGTGCATGTTAGTGGTAACCGCTGTAAATACACACTGTATAAGACTCACCTGGTCTCTCATAATTTGGTGTTTATGTAATAATAAGTAGTACTGAACATATTACACATATAATGCTCTAGCTATGGTAGACAAGATGCCCTGGGATGGGATATAATATTATGGCCCAAAAATAATAACAATAAGACTCATTATCACCGTAGTTACAGTGTATGTTCTCTTGAGCGATCTATGTACAAGTGTGGTTTTCCACCCTGACAGAAGCCCATAATCATACCACCATCTGAGATGATGAGTATCCCTATCTCCATCATATGGGAGCCCCCCCCCTCCTACCAATGGCTGTTTACACATGTAATGGAAGATGTATTGCCAATTTTCCAGTTATAAGCAACCAAACTGACGTGGCTTCTCCTTTACCATCCTTTTCTAGGCTTCTATTTTTGATGTCTTTAGTAGAAATGTAAGGATTCTGTGGCTGTCTTAACCCTTTAAGCCCCAATGTCCACAGACAAATTCTCAAGACTAGATCTCCATACATTTTCAAGAATATTTGATAAAAGGGGCTATTGCATTTTAGTAAAATCCAACTAGTGGTCTATTATCAATGCTGGGTTCTGATTGGTTGAGCTATATGTTATAGCCTACTAGTAGCCAAAAGCGCCAGCTTTGAAAACCAAAACAATGGCGGCTGCATTGCGTTTTGCTAGTGAAAGTTGTTTAGTCTTGATATTTTTTACCAACTAGTTGGATTTTACTAAAACAATTATTCCTCTCGCCCTCATGGCCTCTGAGTCAATAGCCCATTCAGCCTTTGGCCTTATGGGCTATTGACTCAGAGCCCATTTGGGCTCGAGCAATAATAATATTGTTAAATAATATCCATTCCCACCCCCTGGTTGAAGACCTAACTTTTCTTCTTACACTTGAAGATTAAATAAAATTTGCATTCAGCCCAGAAGACTTCCATAAATTAATTATGGGTCCTAACCCTGAAGAAGTTTGTGAAAATCAAAGCTCCACTCCCAAAGAATTCCAGATTTTTTTACTCTACCCCTAAAGAAATCCTCAATTTTATAACTTACCCCTGAAGAATTCCATAAATACATACAAACATTTTTTTATTTGGAGTCTTATACAATAAAACCGAGGGGGGGGGGAAGGGGAATAAAATCCAATAGCCCAAGATCAAAACATTTTCTCTTTGGTTAACACTTAATTAATTCTTGAAAAACTTTCTCTTGATTATGTATTGATGTCGTAAGGAGAAAATTTACCTTGAACGCTCTTGGGACGTAAAGAAAGGATTAGCACAAAAGGTGAACCTTTAACTTTTGTTATTGACTACTGTCAAAGAAAACAATGACAGGAAATGTCCCCACCTGAAATGGAGCTCATGTTTCGTATTGTTTGTCCTCCCTTGCCAATTATTCTTCCACAAGCACGCTGAGGTATGAAAACTTCTTCGGTTCTTATGACTGGTTGTTCCGCTATAATTTTCTTCACCAATATTTCCGCACGTTTTGCCTTCTCGCGTTCACCTTGAATCAGTACAATCCTCTCTCCTTTCTCGTTACCTTCTTCTTCATCCTTCATAACTACACGAGCACCGCTATCCTTCTCTATCTTTTTAATATTCGCACCAGACTTTCCAATAATTACTCCGACAGCAGAGCTAGGGACTTTCACTTCGATGGTCTTTTGATTCGAAGAGGCAACACTTTCGCTTTCTGTTTCTTTCGCATACTCGTCATCTTCCCCCGAAAAGTGTGAGCTTTGACGTTTCCTGTACCAGAGATAGAGCAATAATGCTATGACTGGAACTCCGATAGCTATCGCTGCTCTCTGCTCGTTGGAAAGAGAAGGCATTCTTATTTTTTTAGAAAATACAGGACTATTCCATGTGATACCAGCAACTTTATTTAGCCTTTGGCTGTGCTACCTGGCCGTCTGCTTCACAGGACACCCAGCTCTGTGACATAACATTTTAACAAGGATCATGGTTGCTACGGGTCATATAACGCAAGCAAGTTCATCCGTTTTGGCATTTCTGCCTCTTTTTTTACGTGCTCCAGTCGTAAATGGAATGAGACGGGGAGGAAAGGAGCTTGGCATTCCAACAGGTATACCGCATGTATGCAATTTTATTAGATTCGATTTTGCAGCGTTCCATGTTACTTGTTCCAGGCTACCAGAGTCTTGGAATCGTCGGTGTTATGCGCGCAATTTCACTATTCTGACAAAAAAGAGCCCTTTTCATTGATGTTTTATATTTAGAAAGGAGACAGTCGAAAGTGTATTGATTGTCCTGTAATCAACCACTGTGAAGTGTGGATTCATTAAGATTTATAGCAATCGTAAGCATTAATTTCCAAAACACTTTTGACTGCATCTCTTAGCTTCTGGACTTTTCGATTACTTTTCAATTTTTTATGGTTAAGAAGCACAACTTTTATGATATAACTATGTAAAAATAAGTGTTCTTTCAATATTTATTTCAAGTTAGTACAATGCAGTGCAATCATGCCTCAATATTTATTGATGAATCCCGTCCGGTGCTTGCTACGTTTGCCATGTTTTTATTGCGCAACGGTTGCGCAACTGTCTGCAATTTACGGTCTGCGGTTTCCCCCACGAGAGATGCGACCGGACAAAACAGTAACTCGTGCGTTTTAATCGTAACTTGTCACAGGTGTAATTATTCTTCTCCTTCTTTTCTCTTCTTCTTGCTTGGTTTGAGGGCTGAAATGCCTTCCCATATAACTTCAAGTTGTTTTCCTCATTTTTCCCGTGGGGAGGTTGTTAAA